AAACCTAGAAGAGCAGGGGATCCAAGAACAGGATTGTTAGAATTTTTCCCTTAGGAGGCAGTAAAAACTCAACAAAGGAGATTAAGAAGGAATGACCAGAGAAGTAGGAGAGAACAAGAGAGTGGTATCCTAGAGGTCAAGGGAAGAAAATTCTGAGAAAAAGGGTCCTGATGATTAGTGCATAATTTTAAATATTAACGTACATGGTCCATTATGCACAGGGGTATTACTTGGGGAAGGATGGCTTCTCAGACAGTCCCCACAACGGGGCACATCCTCTATGAATTCTCCACTGGCCAAAATCTACTGCTCAGAAATTCAAACTTGACCTCATGAGAGTGTCACTATCTTTTAGAAACAGATTAAAGTTACATATTGCTGATTTGCTATATATGTGTCTATCTGATTTTAGCTCACAAATACATTGATATAAGATATATATCAGAATGACAACTTACTAATAAAAATACAACTGTTAGATGATTCAGTTAGCCTAACTAGTGCATTCTCCTTTCTCCTTGTAGGTCTGCATAAAGGAAAGGCAAATTTTCAGTAGGTTACTTTGTGAGTAGGAAATGAGAACGAATATTTAGTTGATCTTAAGTTTCTCAGCTGGTCTAGCTTAAGTCACTCTCAAGGGATAGCCTTGTCAAAGAGTTGGCCTCTCGAACCCTTGTATTTCATTTTATTTTTTAATCATTTATTTTTTGAGGGGGTAATTAGGTTTGTTTATTTATTTAATGGAGGTACTGGGGATTGAACCCAGGACCTTGCATGCTAAGCATGCACTCTACCACTGAGCTATACCCTCCCCCTAAACCCTTGTATTTTAAATACTCCCTTGTCTGACAAACCTCTTCTTTCCTTTCTCCAAAGGGAGTGCACTTTTTGTTTTTCAGGTTGTAATCCCAGTGCAACGCTTCCTGCCTGAGATTCTACCCAGGACACTGTGGTTGAGTTTTGATGGTTTCCAAATTCCTACGGAATTGCATTATCTGTTGCTTTTTACTAGTTTAATCCTTAGAGAGCAATCTTATTCCAAGTTTCCAAGAGGCACTTTATTGGAACTACCACATATTGCCAGTAACTATTCAGATGTCAAGTAGAGTAAGAATTAAATGTGAAGCTAAAGGATTTGGCAATTAGGAAGGTCATTGGAGGGGTTTGGTGCCAGCAGTTTCAGTAAAGTTGTGGGAATGGAACCCTGGGAATAGTCACACGAATGAAAGCCGAATTCCTTCATTAGATATGTAGTGACTACCTAGAAATTGCTGGGCTCAGGGAACAAAATAAAAGCAAATATGGAGGAAGTCCATGCCCTCATGTGACTTTCCTGAGCAGGAAAGGTGACATTAATAGAGTAATCACAACAAATACTATCTAATAATACAGCGTGCGTTGTTGAAGAACTATGCAGAGATGTGACAGCATTTAAGAGGTGGGTCTGGCGTATAGTGTCGGGGCTCAGGAAAAGCCTGAGGCGATGACGTAGTATTGGGGATGTGAAAGACACATAGGGTTAGGCAGGCGAAGCCGACTTGTGAAGCACAGAGCTTTGGGTCGCCCAAAATAGTCTGTGCGGCCGCGAAGCGGGGAGCGAGGAGAACCCGACTAGGTAAGTCTGGGGAAGTGGAAATAGGAAAAGTTCTTGCGATCAAAGGGACCAGAAGAGGCAGGCAAGGGAGCAGAGAAAGCTCCGCCCATAAACTACAATTCCCAGGAAGCAATTCGGCAGACGGATGTGAGGTGAGGCGCGAGCCGCGACCTTTGAAGGAAAGAAGGAAGTGATTGGGCGTCGCAGAGCGGGAGAAGCG